AAAACAGGCTACAATTCACCTCTTAAACGGTAGAAGCCCTTGCGATCCGAGAGGGACACGACTTTGGGCATTTATTCATGCCGCGTGTTGTTTACTAATGACCTTGAAAGAATCGACGCATTATAACAATTAAGACACTGTACAAATTTTTTGGTGGCTTCGATTGGGAATTAAAATTGCTCTGACAATTTTTTCCCAGTTTAATTAAACAAAACCAGTGACTGTTTCACTAAATGGATTATATGGTTACTTAGAGTATGTACAGTACTATTCCGTTATTGGTCACAGAGGACACATCTCAGAGCATTCAAACACTAAATTAGTGTGGATTGTTATCAGTTAAGCGTGACCTAATATTATCTGATTTAAGCTAACCTCTCTCAGCTCCATTCCAAACGATGACCACTTTGACCAACTGTCTGGAGGCCATTTCCGAAGTAATTTGAATTTTTTACTGTGATTCGTAGGGGAAGATGCCACAGTTCTTTAGAGTTTCTATTAGATCTTCTTTCACCAGCGAATTTCTTTCAATAACCAAGCCGTAATTTGTCTACCCACCAAAACCGTCATTTTGTTGCTGCACTGCGTCAGCTCATATCTGTTATCACTAACACTCCATCAATTTTATTTATTGGGACCAAGCAATGTGATGTTATAGTGGAGGAATTCATTGCATTATAGGATGAACTTCTTCATGCACGGAGCAAAGGAGATGTGAACTAAAACACTTAAGAGTCCTGTATAGCTGTTTCTATCTTTTACGGTTTAAATAGTACAGTGGTAGAACCGAGGATAGAACGAAGAACTTACTGGTATAACGCTAGAACACCACCGACTTAACAATCTGACATCTGATTGGACCATTATATTGCAATTAACATATCCTCCGCAGTTGTTAATAGATTAAAGTCTTCCGCTCTCTTTCGAGTGATTCTGTGAACTGTATCGGAAAATAATCACTTTCTTCATAGTGCTTTGTGAAGTGAAATGAGTCAAAAGTTGGATTTGCCAGAACAATAGAATGAACACAGCCTTCTTCAAAAATTCTTTACGATTGAGTTGCTACATTATGAATCCATCATTGTGAATCGATTTAACTCGACTTCTCTTAATTATCATTCATTATCTTTCATATAAGAAGGATGACGAATTTGTTTTGAATTATTCTACTTCATCTAACTTATTAATCGTAATTATTCTAGGTGTTCAGCGCAGATCAATCCACAGATTCTCGTCCTCGTATTGAGATTTGGACGTCATTGGACGGTGAAGAACATAGGGAAGAAGGAGAGGACAATAATTCGGAAACAACCAAAGAGGAAGACAGACGAAGCAGCCGTGGTTCAAGTAGATGTGACGTGTGTAGTGGAACTCCACAGTTTGTGCACAAAGTGTATTTGGTTTACGCAGATCAGTGCAAGCGACTAAAGGTGATTCAATCTCAGAAGCATTATCAATGTTTGACTGAGGCCCTTTCTACTCAGCCAAACTCAGCGGAAATGTCAAGTAGCCTCAACGAACAATTGGTCATACCCCATGCTACGTTCGGTGCCTGCGGTACGACTGCATTGTGCAGTACGATTCCCGTAAGTGTCGAAATAGAATTTTATGCTATACCGATTCGACCGAATTTTCATAAAACCACAAGCGGTGGTTATAAAGCAAAAAATCTCTAGGTTTCATCATCACATGCGTTCATGAAATGAAATAACATCACAGTAATTTTTTCAGGTACGTACCTATCTATAATTTCTCATCGAGCAATATTTTTTGTTTTATCACTTTCTTTGCCATAAATTTCCAGAATTCAGGAGAACAATGGGAGTGTAATGGACTCAGTCACACACGAATGATCATAATGCTAATGAATAACATATATTGTACGAATGGGGAACTTCGGGAATTTTGACTGAATATGTCCATTATGACATGAGAAGACACGTCCAGAGGCGAATAATTGTTTTCATTGATTCATATTCTGGTCTGTACAGATCAAATAAGGAAATGGTATGTTGAACGGGGATAGTCATTCAGTCATTCAAAAGTCACGATGCTTGGTTGAAAGGAGAAGGAATGGGGTGGGTGAGTAGTGTGACGTGTTTCACGCCCCCAGGTCATCACAACACTGCAATTGATTGGTTGGATTGGACTGAAGGTTATGCGGCAGAAAAGCACCACTATATTAGTTTCCACCTCCTCTGTGATCCCTGTTGTATTTCTGAACTCAGCTGTTCTCCTCTGAACCTTTGCATGTTTTTGCACTTGAAGCGGCCGGTTCTCGCTTCAGGGGATAGAATAGCTTCAACCCTGCACATGTTCCCAAATACCTAAATCTGAATCTTTCAGCCAGACCCGATACATTTTACGACCATTTATCTATTCCATTTTGTGAAAACTTGGACCCGTAACTTGTTTTATTGATCGGTCGGCTCTCTTTCAGCAGTCTACATGAATGAGTGAGTGAATTTATCAGTTTGGACCATGCATTGCCAATGATACAGTTCCGCCGTTATAAAGTCCAAGTTAACCAAATTCAGTTGCTTTTCCCGATAACGCGTTCTCAAACTGTTTGAACACCCAATCAGCACGCAGCTAGCTGATAACTGGTATTAGCCCACTCGTATTTTCGCGCACACGTGTGCAACCGCTTCCTAATTCCTGAAAGGATGGTAGTGGACATTATGAAACATCATATAAGAGTAGTTTGCTTTCCGGTATGTCAAAGTCAGTGCATGTAAGGAAGGAGAAGGGCCTCAGATGTGTGAAATGCTATCCAGGTAAAATTGGACTGGGTGGGGGAACAGCTCCCGGGTGAAAAAGTTTGGTTTGTATACTGTAATTTCAGACATTCTTGTTACCCGACGGTGAGATAGGGCTGAAAATGGAAAGCGTGATTCTGTTTTTTTTTATTCTCCTTTTTATCGCCTATTTGACACCAAATTCGTGCATGAGAAAAAAATCCTGAGGCCGAAATGCACAGCATTATCGTGTCAGTCTGGCTACCTTGGACCGGACCTGTGCATCCATTGATTGTACTAACGAGTGGACTCACTGTATTCAAGTTATCATCCGGCGAATTCAACTAAACCCGATCTATTTGGTCAACTTGGAACGACATAAATGAGAACTCTCCCGGTCGGCCTCTTTCTATTTTATCCAAAAATAACTGTGATTTTGCAATCAGCAGTTGCATATTGCATAATAGGTCCTTTGCTGCATCAGAATTTTTAGCTAACAGTTAATTAAACCTATTCTTAAATTTTTATGCAACCCTCCATGTCGGTAATCACTATCTTGATCAGCCTTAATGCACTTGAATAATGTCATCCCAAAATAGTTTGGTTGATATTCAGTGAATTTTCTGAGATTAGTTCAGCAATTAGTTTCGTGAGAACTGAGAAAATTAACTTATTTTAAGGTAACTTGAGTTCATTTTATTTCAGGCCCAATATATATTTTGAGGATGGATGTACTAAACAGGGAAGAGCTGACGTAAACGGCAGTCATGAAAGATGATGGGTCAAGCATAAATGAAGATCTTTGGCACAAATTATGCATTCGTTGAAAACTCACCTGAAAATCTTAATTATCATTCCTACCATGCTAATCATAGTATAGAAACCAAGCAGATGGTTTCTGTAACGGTCCGAACTATTTTTAATATAGGAAAATCTATACCTCTGAACATTCACGAAAGCCGAATCAAATATTATTCAGTGTTATTTCCAATCCTCTGTTTGCTTAATCTTGGAAATATAACAACATACTTTCGGGGTCACTGATTCAATTAAACACAGTAACATCGATCCTTATTTCTTGAAATCAAACGAAAACGATCTTTGAAAGTACAAATTGATCTCTGCCGTCTGAATTAGTCATCGATTTCGATAGTGTCGATCCGTTAGTACAAAGAAGACCCACGTTTTATTTTCAACTACTGAATAGACAGCGACACAGAGATTGAAGTACACTTCAAAGTACTTCAATCGTTTAAATGAGAAAATCAACTACAGATAAATGAAGTGTATCGAAGATACACTAGGTAGTAGGACAGACAGACAAACCAAAGAAGAAGCCGTATGATATAGTTGAATAAATATCACAGACTCATGTGACAGTTTCAAAATAATTATTTTCAAAATATAGAATGTTTTCTGGTAAAACAACTGGGATAGATCAGTTTATCTAACTGTTGATAACAGTCACAAAATTTAAAAAACACTGAGAGTCGCAATACAAATGCTGCAAACTGGTGTTATAATCAACTGGATTTGGCCACGGATAACCCAAAAGCATCCGCTGCGAATAGCTATTGTGCTAAATTAATAAAACTTTCTATTTTTCAGTTACTATGATACAGAGAACAAAAACAAAAATAAAAGGTGTTGTTCAGTGTGTCTTTACGTCCGTTGAATACGCAACTAATTTCAGAAGCCAAAATAACTCCTAATAATGGATTGAACTAGTTACATTTGACTTGGACTTATAATTAGCACACAGATCGTAGGCGACGGAAATAAATAATTTCGTGATTATATATACATGGCGTGCTTTACTCTAATGATAACTGCCTTTGGGGAAAACAGATAAAGTGCGTTTATGTTGTAATTTTCCTTTAAATTCCCTTAATCAGATGCCAGAAAAGCAAGATGGATACACATTGACATTGTGATCACAGTTGATTCGAAATGTCGTTAAAAAACCGCCTGTAATCTGTTTCTTTGCGAGAACACCTTTATAAAATAAGTTTCAATTCTCTTCGAAATCATCGCACTTGAAAAAAATCAATAAATTACTGTATAATGTCTTATTTAATGCGGTTTATTCCACAGTTTTTCCCCCAATGCGTCAGGGTATTACTCATCGGGAATTCCCTGACGTCATCAGCCATTGAAAAGGTTGTCAATTTTCTCTGCCATCTCAAAGGTCTCAAAGAATTGGTACGTAATAGAATTTCACTCACCATCCTGCATGATATCTGACAGTGTTTATCACATATTATGCTCAGTACAGTCCCGGCAAAAGTGATCAACAAATTACTCGGTTCTGCACGAACCTTGCAAAAGTTGGATTTGTCAAGTAAGCTCAGTATCTGACAACGTGTAACTTGATTACTTATCAGTATGTGCTCAGTTCAGTACAACAGTCTTGATCCAATCGCACTTCCAGTTCGTTATTGTTGGAAATTCCTTTGGCCCACGGCGCTACAAGCCAAAAGAAAATGAGCATTTTCATGTGTTGCAATACTCCTTTTAAGGCTAACCAGAAACTCCACACATTTCATACAAACCGTAGATGGCCTACTATCCTGGACTTTTTATATATGAGTACATTCTGATGAACAATGGTTAAAGTACCCCACAAAACCCGGCTATTCGGGAAAAGAGTAGTTAACTGCCAAATCAGCGTTAACATGATAGCTTGTAATTCGGTTCGTGATGTATTGCATGGTCTGGTAGCTGGATAGGAAAAAAATATTTAATCATTAAGATTTATTAAAAATATCACCGAACAGTATTACCTTTCTAGTAAATTATATCTACATTCAGAGCGATTTCTTCGCAATTACGCACTCTCATGATCGACAGAATAAGGACATTTCAAGTATCCATAGCTAAACCTACCGGTCGCATTTTGGTGTTACCAGTTCAAATTACTCCAGTGAACCGATGTAATCAATCCAAAATTGGTTTATGATTTTTTTAAAAGTGTTCCTTCATCCTTGTCAAGAAATTAAGTGCACTATCAAGTAATGAAACCTTTTTCTTGGTAAACCAGGGAAGTTCACGGGAGAACAGAAGGGGAAAACATACCAACAGACAAGGAGAAAAAGTTACAGGTTGATTGACAGTGAAGTTTCGTAAATTATGAATATGGAAGGACCATTGTCTCATTTTACCAACAGTAATTATATTATGAAAAACAAAATATTTCAAAGAACCTTCTCGGGAGACATTAAGTTGCTTGATAATTTTTACTATACAACTATGAGAACCTTATATATGCGAAGATTCACTGGGATGACATAAGTTTCAACGAGAAAATATCGATTGCAAACATGTTGATAAATTAGGATGCAGGCCTGATCGCGTGCTGGACTTTTAAGTAGCGATCAGATCAAGTCAATTTCAAACCTTGGCGTAGTAACTCATCATCTGCATGAGTTTGTCAATTGGAAGGACGGGCCAATCACTAATGTAAAAAGAGAACAAATTGTGAGAAAGGACAGCAAACTGTAGTTCATTCGAATTACTAATGGACAAGATAAACCCTTAATTAATGCAGTGAGTTGAATTTTTAAGGGTAAATAATCTTCTAAGCAATGAGGAAACAGCATTATGGAACCAGAAGACTGATTTCGGGGAAGCGAGTCTCAAGGAACGGAGTGTCACGCAGAAGAATGATCAAGAGATAAACTACGAATGGATTTCACAGATCTAGAAATTTAGGGATTGAGTGTGAGGGAGAAAACGATGTGACAAGGATGAATGTGCTAGTTTTGTATGCAAACTGGAGAGTATCATGAGAAACACTCAAATTAGAACATAGACGATTTGGCTAAGTTACAGCAAAAGCAGGAAACCTTTTAGACGAAATAGTATAGGTAAACGTTTTACAATAATGCTTCAGAATTACTTTAGCATAATATTGACCACTTTGTTCCTTCTGTCACAATTATATCTATACTGTTTATACTGTTAAACATAAACAGATAACAAACTTCGAGACAGCACTGGAGCCATTTTGTTGGAGCAACTCACTGCTTGTCGGAGTCTGGAGTATTTGAACCTTCGAGGGAACCAACTAGGTCTGCAGGCTAGTCAAGCTCTTGCCAGGCTTTTTGGTGAGTTTCTGACGCTTCATTTTCTCTGCAAACCACTATTTGAAGATGGGGTAATAAACATAGAGAAGAATGTCATAATCTTTAGATTTTATGTGGCTTCAAAGCTAGTGTTCTTAATCTGAGCAAAACTGAAAAATACCGTATCATCGAAATATGCAATCGGTTTGAGTGTGCAAGTGTTCGGGTTATCATGAAAAATTATGGCAAATGAATTAAGCTACTCGCCAATAATAGGTAACTAGTGAAAGATCTTGTCCATTAACGAGTGAATTTTCATTTCAGCTGAAACTGCTACCCTGAAGACATTGGACTGCAGTTGGAACGAAATTCGTGGTCCAGCTGCCATGGAGCTTGCGAAAGGGCTCAAGGTAAACCTTTGAATTTGGTACAATGTGGCTTTGACGATGAACACCAGTTTCCGTACCTGAGCTTACACCACATAATTCCATGTTAATCCTGAGGCATATCGGGACATCGTTTCACTGTGCTCCACTTGGTTAAAACAATGAATGCAGGTTGAGAGAATAAGATTTGATGATCAACCTAAAGTGGTCTGAATCACTGAAAACAAAGTTCAGACTTCAACCGTTAAAAAGGCTGTCGTGGCTCAATGGATTTCGGCATGATTTTATTACGTTAAACTATTTCCTGCATCTAACGCTTTACAACTTCAAGTGAATCCGCCGTAACTTCAAGTGAATCCGACCAATCACATTCAATTGGGAACCCCACAAAGTGAATCGGGCGTCAGCCTTCACACATCACCAACTGTGCCGGGTCTATCACAACCCTGTCTAGTTGGAATGAACTGATATCTCCATAGACAAAAAAAGTATTTTTTTTTTGAGTAAATTACCAAGCAAGGATGAAGTTTTCGGTGGCGTGGGTTTTGACAGTTCGTCCCCTATTCCGGGAACGTTGATTGAGTGAGCGCTATATAGACGAGAAGGAACATACCTAGCATTAATTTGCCTCGGTCGGCCGGTTAGGGAAGCGAATCACGTCAAGATGGACAGATAAATCTATCGCCACGCTCAGGTGTGAATGTTGGTATGATTCCTCGTATGAATGTGTTCAATCTAGGCCCTGAACAGCCTAGTGAGTGAATCTATTGAAGTAAATTGATCTTTTCTCTGGTACGTGTTATTTAATACATTTAACGCTTTTGTGCCCTTCGTTCTGAGTTTCATTATCGCTAAGTTCTGGCAACTGATTACTGGTGCAATGGCGATTGCCGATCTGTGAATATTTTAAGTGCTACAACTTGGCATTACGCATGAACCTTCCAACGATTGAGTGTCGGAACATCCGAGATTACGGAGTGAGAAGAGCTATTCAAGTAATGATAAAGTAACCGAAAAAATAGCTAGCAGAATCCATCCGTTTTGTTCCTTTCTGTGATGTGTTCTTTGCTGAAAAACCTGGTATTTCATGAGGCATTTATCAGACTGATGTGTTGGTCGTTGAAACAACTATCCCTGGGTCAGGCAAATAAACGATTAAAAGGGAATTGATTTAAACTGATCATCCTTCAGGCCTTATCTCCATGCGACATTAGTTCTTCTAGTCAAGGATACACTCGGAAGCACTAGACTCACGTTTCGCTCTTATTAGATTTCGTCAGTAGTGCATATCCACCGTCCTGTCCGGGCTTTGAACTCCGGACGAAATCAATATCAGTTATCCCATGTCACCACTCACAATTAACTGTGAGTTAAAGTAAAAAGGGAATTCCTTCATGACTGCAAAAATATGCTGTTGTAATTTCATTCTCCGGCTGAAAATCCAGGCAATGCTGTATATTTTTGTTAACCATTCGGTCGAGCAACTTTACCATCACCCAGGAGCCATACAACGTATTGGCGTTGCAGATGAGACGGATTGACAACAAGGCTCTGGTGTTCGCAAAGGCGAGCAAGATCTATGAGCAACCTGACGATTTGATGCACGCGTCAGCATGTGAGTAGATGAAAGCATTCTATCGGTGAGGTCAGATATTCGTTCGTTCACCTGTGACCGAGCGTGAACCGAAGATGCAACCCTGCCATCAGGGTACGTGCGACTTTATCAACTGGTGCATGTCAGGTGACGCCCATGGTTTAGGTTCCCATATGCAAGTGTTGTGTTGGGCAGAAAGCCACACGACGGAGTCAACCAAACCTAATGAACTTGCTCTTGATATTCACACACACATTTCTATCTGAGTCAAAGAAGGGGTGTATTGAGACATGCAGGGTTCTAGAACTTGTTGACTGAGTGATCAGAGTTTGTGAATGAGTTCGAGGGTTGCTGAATTCAAGCTGACATAGGCATGCAGCTTAGAATCGTTAAAAAATCATTTAACCGTTCTTTGATTAATCAGTTACATGGCTCAACAGCGACATTTCCCACGCATAACCTTTCCGACTTTGGCAGATATTGAATGCATAAGCAAACACGTAACCGAGACCTATAAAGTCCAGGGGAAATCTGGTTCCTAATAGCTCTCTAATGGTGTATAAGGATGTAAATTAATTTTTTATTGGTGGTGAATAAATTTTCTAAAATAGGACGATGGTTTCGTGAAACCTTTGTTTGGATGTAGAAAAACGGAATCTAATATATGCTCTTCAAGCTATAATGGGACCGTAACAAGTATTATCATACTTTTATTGATCCTGGAGGAAGCATACGTTCTTACTTTTTGATCTTATTTTCACACAATGTCACTAGAACCCGATGCTTACAAAGATTGAATTACAAAACCCCGAGTTTCAATAACAGGTCAAGTTTGTCGATATTCAGCTTCTTCCACATAATATTCAACCATAAGATCGGCATATAAAAAATCATGTGCTTAGGGAAAATCAAACATGATGATCGATATTGCCATAATCCTTGACAAAATGCATATCGAATGTTCTATGCTTTGAACAGACTTTCCACTGTGTCAGCTCTAAATTTTTGGTCCAAATACACACAGTATGGTATGCACTGTAAGTTGAAAAATATGATAGTAAAGATGTCCAGTTGTCCGACAAAACATTAAGATCTGTTTAGTGGTCAGTTGAGAAATGAGTGAACAGCGTCGATTACGTAATATCTGGTATCAACGTCAGTGATTCCGTGGATGTTTACACAATTGTAAAACACATTAAGGTAGAAGATTACACTTTGGTGCTTTTGATTCCATAAGTATGTAAGTCAATTGCTTTTCCGCCTTCGAAGGCCCTAGAACACCAGGGCAGAATGATTGTGTTCATGCCTGAATATTGTTCACATTGATCACTGACTCTCATGACCCATCGATCAACCAGTTGAAATACATCATTTTACTTCGAGGTGAGCAGCCGCCCGCTTCACGTGATATGATGAGCTGAGCTGACAGAGTGCTTGCCTGAATGGCAATCATAGCGCACATGTTTGGCGAGAATGCATGGCTAGAACTAGAAATTCGTTTGCCACGTTCTTTGAGTGGTTCATTCTTGCAATGCATCCAGCCCCTCGGTAGGCCTAAATCGGTCCCTTCTTTCATGTTCACTTTCTTCAAGTTTACTGAAATGAACCTTACAACAACTGATAGCAAAGTTACGATGCCATTGGGAATGACGTTAGTGGTTGATTGATCACAATTTTCGGTTAGGTAAAACCAGCGGCTAAATGCATGAAATCCAATTGATATTAGATAGCGAAACAGCGATTGACAGAATCACTGATGTGACCTTATTTTTAAAACCACTGATCAGAGCATATGGCGATGGTCATTTTTTACTGGTGACGGTTAAAAATTTTATCTATCGTATTTCAGTTGCCTTTGTTACAATAAGTTGAAAATTGTATGATATGACTTCCTTCAAATGCATCGTTTATATATCGCGAAATCCAATAGCAATCTAGGAATTTTTTCAGTGAATGAAAATGTCTTCCGAACTGAAAAGAATCCGCATAAATCGTTCAGTAGTATACAGCAACTGTGCGAACCCCGGGTTTAATAGTAACAACGCTCTGGTTACTGTTAACCAGGGGGAAAATTATTCACTATGGAAATAGTCAGCTAAACCCAAGTGTCAGTGTCTGGGATAAAAACCGCAAAGAAACGCTGATTTATACAAAAAAGAAACAATATATTCACACTAACCCATTCCCGAGAATATTCACAAAATCACTCAATCTGCAGCCTGTGATAAATTCACAAAGACACAGGAAACTTAAATTTGATTAAAAGCTAGCGCCCCGAAATCATTTGGTCCCAATATAACATATAAAATACGGCATACATTGTGCATCGAGAAATAGAATGAAAGCTATGATTCGGTGACTCCGCCCACGGTTTTATTGCACGTTTTAAGTCACGTGAGCACCAGGCAGTATATTCAGGTAGAAGTCCTGTAACCACAGTGACCTTGGGCTAATTCGTGCAAAACCGCAATGTAACGACCGATTCCGATTATTGCGGTATGAAAACCATAGAGACCAGCGAGTGAGAAACAATGATATGTACTGATCACCCCGTTTAAGCTTCCGAATCGGACGAAAGCTACTTTTGTTTCACTTTCAGTTCAGTGCAGTAACTCCAGGTCTAATATTAGATTCATAAACGCAACACCAAATGGAGCTTATTTAATCCAGAAAGACAAAATTCATTTATCTCTTGCCCCCTGTGAACAATGAAAAACGGTCAGAAACAGTTCGATATCGGCAAGAATACCGTCTTCATATGTCTGAGACTACGATTATTGCAGATGAACAGCACAGAATGAAGTTTATCGGGATAAAATATCATCTGGATTGTTTTGTTGTAAATATTACCGGAATTATATTATATTACCGGAATATATTACCGGAATATTTACTTGTGATTTTTATTGTACGTTAAACACATCGATTTTGCGGTGGTCAGTATCGTCGATTTGCTACATGTTAAAAAACATACGAAATCAGAATAATTTCATCCCGTTTTTTGACACTAGTACCTCATTTGAAATAACAGTTAATTCTTTAGGGCGGTCCCTCCATAACCAGTTAATTTATGCATGATTACTATGATTCGATGTNTGTTTTGTAGGTGGGTTAGATGCTATGAACCTCAATCGGTTTGGCGGTTCTTTCCACTCGTCAGGTGTGTGTATCCTGTGATCTTCTGTTAGTCCATTCATATACGTGTAACTAGGAGGTGTATTTTCGACTCTGAACTCAACTGACAAAATTACCAGATAGGTGAATTACATTGTGTTTCCGGGGAAATTTTTTCGAGCCATTCATATATTACTTACACATTGTAACATATACTGTCGTCTCATATTTTTTACTGTTTCTTCTC